AGAGAATGCTCAAGAGCAATTTTGTCAACCATCCAGATCATTTTCCCACCAAAGATTAACTGAAGGGCTTCAAGAAAATCACCAGCAGTGATAGCACAGAATTCACCAAGAATATCAGGAAACTATATTTTTTTTCAGACAATTCCCATAATATTACAAGAGTTATTTTTTCAAGAACTCAAAAAGATAATCATGAGATTTGTGGAACATAGCAAAAAACCAAGAATTTAAATTAAAGCACTGCAAGATGCCAAACAAAGAGCAGGTTTTGGTCTTCCAGATTGGGTATTGCATTATAGATCCTATGTATTAGTCTGGACAAAGGAATGGATAACTTTAGATAATGACAGACTACTCAAGCTGGAAGGACATGATTCACAGTTAGGTTGGCATGCTTTTCTGTGGTACAAAAAAGATAAAGAGCAGAATTTTTTAATTTGAATATGATAAGAGCCCTACTAGGTACTTGGAAAAAGATCATCCAGCACAAGTGGAATCTAGGTACAGAAAAGATAAAATAGAGGGGTTTTATACAGAACAAACAATATTTGATAAACTTCTGCTGGGTTCAAATGATAAAGTAATTAAGAAAATGTATGATTACTTGCTTGAATTCAAAATGCAAGATGAGATGGTCAAAAAATGTATGATTAGCTGGGCACAAAATATAGGACATAATATTGATATTGATCAATGGCTGCAAATATGGAAAAATAACATTAAGCTCACGAAATTGGTAAATTTCAAGGAGAACATATACAAGATGTTTTATAGGTGGCATATGACTCCGGAAAAATTGTCAAAGATTTATACAAAGGTGTCAAATGTTTGTTGGAAGTGTGAAGCACATGAGGGAAGCTTTTACCATATGTGGTGGACTTGTAGAGTAGCGAAACAGTATTGGGTAGCAGTACATACTCTGTTACAAAAAATACTGCTTTGTATTGTTACATTAACCCCAGAACTGTTTTTATTGAGCATTATACCAGACAATACAGATAAGACAAAGAACTTATGTATATGTATATATGTATAGTCACTGCAGCCAGAATTCTTTATGCTAAGAATTGGAAGAAATCAGAGATACTGAAATGAGAGGAACTCATTGAGAAGATACTTGAAGCAGCAGACATGGATATTTTATGTTGAAAGACTGTCCAATACAAAAGACAACTGAATGATGGGATTTATTATATAAATGGCTTGAGTCACCAGATAGTGCTTGAATAACATAGATTTAAACTAAGATGTAACTGTAAGTTAAAACCTGGATGGCAATCAAATTGTAGAAAAGCAGAAAGTTGATTTGATATTGCAACATGAACAGATAGGATGACAGTACATTTTGTGTTCTCCTTCCCCTCTTCCCCCCCATATCCCCCATTACCTTTTGTACCCCTTACCTTATCCCAAGTTGTTTAAATAAATAAATAAATAAATAAACTCAAACCTGCTAAGCATTCTTCCACTGTCTCTTTTCCGAACCATCAGACCCTGGAATACAGAGTACATTACAGAGTTATGTCAAAGGGCAACATAAGCAGAGCAACAGATTTCTGTAACTAAATCAAGAGGGCAGATGGGAGGGAAGGAAAGGTGACTCAAGTGTACAGTGGGGTCTCGACTTAAGAACTTAATCCGTATTGGAAGGTGGTTCTCAAGTCGAAAAGTTCTTAAGTCGAATCTGCATTTCCCATAGGAATGCATTGAAAACCATTTAATCCGTATCTGCTCTTTTCTGTCCATAGAAACTAATGGGAAGCTGCTATTCTGCCTTCTGCCACTAGAGGGGGATATTTTCTTTCTTTTTTCCCCTTAGGTTCAGGGAAGACAGGGAACACTAAAGGCAGCACTTTAGAACTCTTTTTTTAAAAAACGAAGCCAATTTTAAATAATGTTTTAAAGCATGTTGTGCTGATTTTTTCAGCACAAAGGCACTCAGGCAGGCTTTTTAGGTGCTGAGCAAGCCTCGGGAAGCCTGCTCAGAGCCAGCCGATCAGCTGTTAGGCGGGGAGAGGAGCGGGGAAAACCACAAAATGGCTGCCAGGCTTTTTCTGGGTGTCGGCTTTTAGCTCTTTCCTGCTCTTTTTCCTGTGGTTTGGGGGCTACCAAGGCCTGGTAAGTGACTTTATTTAACAGTACAGTATTTATTTTTAAGTTTCTGACCCTTTTCCCCCCTCCAGAAGCATCTAAGGGGAGGGAGGGGGGACTTTTTTCCCTGTTCGTAACTTGAGGGAAGTTCGCATGCTGAGTCCTTACTTTCCCTATAGGGCAGGTTTGTAACTCAAATTGTTCTCAAGTCGGGTAGTTCGTAAGTCGAGACCCCACTGTAACTGGAGATGAATGGCATTACATGTATCTAGCTTCAATTCCTACAGCAGTTAAGGATAAATAGGTTAGATGCAAAGGAGAGCTACTAAGAGATGTTCTGAGAGGATGGATAGAAAGAGCAGATGTGGTCAATTTTCCAGAACCAAAAGGAAACTCTGTGCTCTTATTACCAAAGAGTCTGACTGGGTAAAATCCTTTAAGTTTTGAGAAAGTATTGGTACTTACATTACTGTAATACTTTTTCCACCTGCAGTTTTCATGCTTAATAAGTCTAGCATACTTTTCATACATGACTTGGGTGGGAGTTTTCTATGTCATATTTCTTAAAGTTCACTGACAAATATTTTGGATTTTCCTGATATTTCAACCCTGGGAATAAACAGGGTTGAAATATTCTCTCAATGGTGAGGTCGACAAGTTTCCAGTCAATTAAACATGCAATGCCCTTTTGTTTCCTCTTCATCCATTCCCTTGACCCAAATTACACATATTTAGCTACACAGAAACAAATATTTCCTCCTAAGCTTCTCCAGCTGAATGAACAGTTACAAAGGTTGCCACTGAATGTAACAACAATAATGAAATAATTCAGCAAATAATCTCTGTAATATAACTACCGACTGTTTTCCACGGTTAGCTGGGAGCTGGCTGCTTCATTATACCATGTTTGAAAACTTTGGAGGTTTTGTGTTTGCTTTAGTTGCTTTTTAAACGAGCCAAGGTCAAATGTAATTTCCCAGCTCTAAGTACACATGGCAGAGCAGGCATATATAGGAAAGTTCGAAGAACAGCAATTATATATCAGATCCCTTGCAATATACTCTCACAGAGAGCACCAGCTCCAGTTCTGGGGGCCCTCTAAAGAAGGTACCCTAACAAGGCTTCAATTTTAGGGACCCCTAAAAAGGCACCATAAACAGCAAGAAGACATAGCAATCAACAATTTTCTTACAGATACTTTATTCTCTTACTTTTTTGGATGCTCCACAGTACAGACAAAAATATTTGCAGATGCGTTTTTAGGAAGCTGGGGAAAATATGGTAGGCTTTCTTATGAATATGCTATCTTTGTGCACAGTCAGTGTATTGGTACATACAGCTCAGAACTGTCTCTTCCGAACTTCTAGCAGAGTTCTTCCCCAGATCAAGCAGAGATACCGGAGATTAAACAGTGACATTCTTAATGCTAGAATATGTTTTGCTACTAAATTATGATCCCTTCCCAATTGTTATGATTTTGTTGCTGCAGTTTGGAGGGTATTCTTTTGGTAGTTAGTCCATTGCTGCAGGTATTTCAGGAATAGGGAAAAGAATAATGGAAAATAGTACTGAAAAGGGCACCCACACAAAAAAGATATGCAAGAAATGTTTGACCCATTGCTATATGGGAGGCTCTTCTGTCAAGTTCCCAAAAACTGAACTACTCATGTACAGTATTTGTGGCTTCATTTAGTTGCTGCTAAAAAGGCTACAAACAAATCCTATGGTGCTATTTTCGATCCCCCAGGGCTGCCTGGAAAGACCTTGATTCTCATTCTGCCTCTACCTGATTGCAGTCTAATTATCCCGTCTATTGCTTTTGCATTTACTTGGGTGCAGGAGGGGAAGTGTATTTCATGATTCCACAATTACTCTTTGAATTGGAGGCAGCAACAAAAACTTAAAATACCACCTCAGAAGATCTCAAACGCAATACTACTCAGTAGAACAATTAGTGCAAGTCAGGTCTTAAAGCAATCTGACAAATGGAATGTGAAATGGGCATCCCAAATAGTTGTCACTACAATTACTCTGTTCCAATCTTTTTCTGCAGCAATTTTTAAGAGAAGAATTGGTCGCTCTTCTATATCCTGGTAGCATTTCTTGAAATAAATGCTAAGCTACTACAAGAAGGATTTGTATGGATTTTGTACTTGGCTCTCTGAAATGGAGGTAGGGACCAGATACCTGGAATAGACTTGGAAAATGCTGCAGCTATTTGCAATGATAAATGTGACTATAAGTACACTGATGAGGCAGACAATGCCCCAGATCCTGTTCCTTAGTGTAATAAATAGCACTGAAATAGGGCTATTGAATCAAGGGGGTGAATCAACTTTTTCGTAAGTTCCATCAATTCAAATGGACCTAATCTAGTAGTGATGCACTTTAGTATAATATGTTACAGTTAGAATAGACCTGTTTAGATCAATAGATTCTATGGAGGAATTGACTCACTAAATTACCATTGATTCAATAAGCGTACTCTAGTGCAATTTAGTACACTTTACAACAGGATTTTGCCCAGTGATGGAACCCACATGGCTCTAATATATGGTTCTGAAAGAATTATGATGAATCATTCCACTCCTTATAAATGTGGTATCATACATTTTCCTGAAATATGCACTATGCTCCTCATCACATCCAATCATATCATTTCAGAACCACAGGAAACTTTCTGGATCAGTTTTACCCAAGTCTTTGCCACCCAGTATTCTCCTATTTTTTCCTTCTGAATCTTATCCACACCCACCCACCAATTAGATTGCAGGTCAGTCTTGTAGTTATCATTTTTCTGTATACCTTTGAAACTGAGAGCAGCTATCATTTTTATTAAAAGGAAATAAAATACATAAGCTGTAATTTAAATTAAGAATCTGGCAAAGAACGAACAGCTGGAAACTTACTGTTCTGGTTACATGGCTTATAAAAGAATCAGAGCAGTCAGGCTGTAAAGAAGAAGGGACATAAGGTCAGTTTTATCAATCAGGTATGATCACAGAAATACTGCTAAACATCACTAGTTACATAGAATAATGTCTTCATAGCCTACAACCAGCTAGAATTAAACAGACAGAAACTGAAATATACTTTCTGGGTGTTCAAGATGAACATTCACCAAACATAGTCTCTCTGTGAGTTCAAAAAGCTGTGCATTAAAAAAATCAAAATGAACATGTACAATAATATCAAACAAATTTTCAATATCAATCAGGTTTTGAAGAAAAATGAAAGGAAACAATTACACGTGTATTATGGAACCATTCTGGACAATTATACTTCCATTTCCCAGTCTTTGGATGACACATCTGTGCTGACTCGCAGAAAGCTCCCTGACCTTAAATAACCACTAGTATGGAACTTGCCACACAACATGGAGTTCAAAACAGGAACAAGACACTGCTACAAAATCAGAGGTCAACTATAGCCTCACATCTACTCTGGCAGCATTATTACATTGCAATCCACAACATCAGGTTCTCGTTTCCTTTTTCATCACCTAATGTGATATATGTCAACCTCAGTAAGCAGAGCCTCCCTGCATTCTACATATGGCAGGTAAGACAATCTCTGTGTGAAATAACAAAGGGGCACAAACCTGATACCAGAAAAGGCAATGTACAAAATAGTGTCAGAACATTTCAGACTCCCAGATCTCAAAGTGGCCATTATGTGCTAGGGGAAGAGGGGAGAGGGCTACAAAGGAAAAACTGAGGAGGAGAAGCTGAACTGGGTTATATCCATAAATTGCAGTAGGCATCTAGAGGTTTAGAGACCACAGCTTTTTAGAACACTACACATATAAATAAGCCAGTTTTGTCTACATCTTGTGTATAGCCAAGATATTGTTTTCCCTGACAAAAATCTGGCCTCACCACAACCAAGCCTTTCCTGAAAACTAAAGCAATTGCTTCAGTAATTCAAAAGACTATAGCTAAGCACTGTGAGTTAGAAGACAGACTACTTATATTAACTAATTACCCCCAGCTCTTGCCAGGATATTTATGTAATGAGCAGCACCTTAGAAGTTCTTCTATGTTAATTCATTATTTACGTCTATATGCTGTGGATTAGCAATATATGTAAAAAAATGCATATTCCTGCATCAAAATACAGGAGGATGGGCTTAGTTGTCCCATCGAGAGCATCAGGATTAATATAATTGGGGCAAAAACAGTGCTGCTGCTGAAGAAGAATTCTGCCTATGTACTCTTCATCTTCTCTTTTAGCCTTAAGTCTGGCCACTCTCTCCTCCAGTTCTTTCACTTTTTCTTCTGACAGTGCTATCAGTCTGTACTGGCTATAGGTGTATGCTGTGTTATTCTCTGGCATGAAGAAAAACACTGCACACACCTTGCAGGTCACCAGCAATGAAGTATCTCTTCCCTCCATAAATTCTGCTACCTTTTGGCTTTCTTCTGTTTGCCTTGTCTCTTGAAGGGTGCTGGGAAACTCCACTAACAATGTTCCCTCTAATTTTCATCCTTACTGTGTGAGAGCCTCACCTGTCTGCACACAGGGCTGGCGTTTCATCCAAAACACAGAAGTAAACAGGCCTTGATCCTGGCTGCCACTGTGCTGTACCAATGGAAGCCCGTGCACCAATGCCCACATGCACCTTAGAGGGCACATTGTCCATTTATACATAATTATATACAGAAACCATGTAAAGATTATTTTAAAATATTCTTAGGGGGTCTCCTCTGTCAAACTCTGCTTTGCTCCCCCTGTTTGTTCACTCCCTCGGGTCTCAGTTTCATCCCTCTGCTGTACTTTGTTAGGAGTAAGCAAACAGAGAGGTCTGACTATTACTCCCAGCTGCTACTTATTGCCCTTAGCAGTCATCAGGCCACGCTCCTTTCCTTTAACTTGAGCACCACTACAAGCATTCTCCACTGGATTAAAATGGAACGAGATAGTGGAAAATAGTTATAAGCACTACTAATGGTTGTTGTGCTTGCTGCTGTTTTTACTATCCAGACATGCCTTGCATTGTACATTTTTGCGAAGTTTTGTCAGCACAGATTCTACTGATGATTATAACATAATCTGCGGTTATATAAAGGAAAAAATATTTTCATGGTGATTCACAACACATTTTTCCAGAATTTAAATGGAAGCAGTCCAGTGGAAGTAGAATTTTCATGAATGATTGGAACGAAAGCAGGCCAGGTTCCCATAAATCATGCTTTTCTGTTCCTTTTGCTACTCTCATTTTACATGGATGAAATCATGTGCATTAGTGTAATGAGTCACATTTGGGAATTCCCACTTTCACCAATGGAGATTTGGTGAGTCAACTTCTCCATATCTTTCACTGATTCAATTGGGCCTACTTCAGTTGTGACATTATGCTAAAGTAATAACCTAGAAAAGGTCCATTTGAGTTAACTATGGCACCACCAGGATGGTGTTGGCTTTGTCCTGAAAAGAGTCTGACTACCTTGTGCAGCAGGGGGAATGGTGGGAACAGTTAAATGAGGGATCAAGGCCATTGCCTGACAAAGGCATCAGCTCTGGACCCTCTTCCAACTCCTTTTTGTGAGTGGTAGAGATGACACTTCTGATTCACCTGAGAGACAAACAGATCAAATTTGGGTGTCCTTCATTGGACACAGATAATGTGGAAGACTTGTGGATTGAGCTCCCACTCATACTCCTATTACTCCTTGCAGCTGAGGAAATCCACCAAGTTGTTGTCCTAACTCACTATGTGTACTGCTGATTAGATTACAGTGTTCTTAATTTATACATCATGCTCTACATTCCACTTACCATCTCATCACTTTCATTAACTGTCCTTTCTTACAGTTCATTAAATTTCCCTAATAGATATTATATCATTTCAGTCATCCATCATTTCAGGCTAGATTTTCATTAACCTATCTATGTACAATGATGACTCAACTTTGTTCTTCAATCGAATGTATACAGTTCCATCTTGAACTCCTCAGGGTTTCCGCTTGTCACCATCTTTGAAGCAACTGCTCTCTCTCTTCCAATGCAGTAATCTATCTAATATCTGAGTCCAGCCACACTCCATCAAATCCATTCATTAAAGTCCCAACATTAAAGTCCCACATCTAGGGGCCAGCACCAGCACTGACAGCCAATGGGAAAATGTTGGCTTGCTGGACTAATGCCGGTGCCATTACAAATGGACGGACAGAAAAAAAAGAGAGTGATCTGACACAACAGTCCAAGGTGGTAGCTCTTAGACTGCAATCTGTCATAGTCCATGCCTGATGGGCTAGATCTGTCCAGGTGCAATGTAAGTGGCAGGTAGTAATCGACCAGACTCATTGCAAAATGATAGTGTTAGATTTAAATCGCCATGCCAACATTAACAACATTATCAGCATTGGTGGGTCAAATCAAGGTGGGCAGGGAAGCAACCTGGACCTCCCATGAGAATTCATCCAGACAAAGGTATCCTCCCACCCCTTAGGTCATTGATCACTTTGCTCTTTTGAGTTGTTAAATGGTGTTCAATTATTATCTGGTGGCAGGCTGCTCATGTCGGTCCTTGTTCCATACTTTGGAACTCGGTAGCCATGGATGTCTTAGCATGTCTCTCTTCTGGCAGCGATTCCGTGAGGGAACAAAAACAGTACCCCCTGCTATAATATTTCAAATAGAAAGAAATGTAGTGATGCAGTTCAAAACAATGCAAATGCTCCTGCTGATATATATGCCATGTGATCACTAAAAATGTATCAGTACAAGAGAGAAAGAATCAGCATAACTTGGGTTCTTTCCACATGTGTGATGGAGCACTAAGGCCACCAGAAGTTGGTTGGCTGGCATTCCACCACTGCTTCACAAACTGCAGAAAGAGAAATTGACTGGGAGGTAGGAGGTGTCCCAATGAATGCAAAAGAATTGGTTCCTATGGCACCAAGGTCAGCCATCTGTGACTGGGTTATTGTACATCACCACACCAAACACTAGGAAAAAATATCTTATTGCCTTAATTGTGTAACCTACACCATCAAAGTTCATGTGTGTGTGTGTTTAGTCGTTTAGTCGTGTCCGACTCTTCGTGACCCCATGGACCAGAGCACGCCAGGCCCTCCTGTCTTCTACTGCCTCCCGGAGTTGTGTCAGGTTCATGTTGGTTGCTTCGCAGACACTGTCCAGCCATCTCATCCTCGGTCGTCCCCTTCTCCTCTTGCCATCACACCTTCCTAACATCAAGGTTTTTTCCAAGGACTCTTTTCTTCTCATGAGATGGCCAAAGTACTGGAGCCTCAGCTTCAGGATCTGTCCTTCCAGTGAGCACTCGGCGTTGATTTCCTTTATAAAGAATTTAAGGAAAGGTTGTCCAGGACTTTAGAAGGACCAAAATCTCCCCACCTTAATGTGCACAGATGTCCTAAACTAGGTAGACCCGAGGTTTGAGGCACGATCCTCTATTGCTATTGAGGCATTGTGTCTGCTGTCACAACACAAGAGTAGTACAGTTTCTTGGCATGTCCCCCCATCCCAAAAAAAAAGGCGTTACCCTGCTCGCATCCTCTCCAAAAGCACAACAACTCTGTCAATTTTGTTTCACAGCTGAGGAGGCAAGCCACAGCCCCTTAGCTAAAGGGAAACAGCGGCTGCCGCTCAGAAACTGAACGGAGTTGTCTGGTCATTTCCTCTTTCTAAAAAACAAAAAGCATATTCTGGCCTGCAACTGGTCAGTGAATGACTGAAATAACACTTAAATAGCAAATTGTATACCCCCCCCCAATGCCTTCTTTGGGGGTGTGAAGAGCCTCGTGGCGGTGCAGTGGTGAAACTGCTGTCAAAACTGTGTTCACTGTCTAGGGTTCAATCCCAGGTAGCTGGTTCAAGGTTGACTCAGCCATCTGTCCTTTTGAGGTCAGTTCCATGAGTACACAGCACACTGTGGGGGAGGGGGCAATGTGTGGCATACATCATTAACAGAATCAACTTGATAATT